TTGGCAAGAGCAAACAGAACAAATGCTCACCTTCTAAAAAAAAAGTGGGGTGTGGAGGAACGTGCTGGGGCAAGCAGTGATGCCAGCCCCTTGCAGGGCGGGGAGGCAGGGCTCAGGTGAGGGCATGCAGGTCGTGGGCAGGGGGAAGGCAGGGCGTGGGCGAGTAGTGATGCCAGCCCCAGCCTTGCGCAAACAGTGATGCCAGTCCCGCATGGGGGCTCAGGTGAATGGCTCAGGAAAGGCTTGCGCTAGCCCCACGTTGTGTCCCATTTTCCCTTTGGGAAATACAGTCACCCTAGACAGGGGGTGCTGTGACCGGCTTTTTGATGAGACCCAAAAGCAAGGTCCTGATCACTTGTGGTCATCAAAGATCCCGTGCCACTGGGATGTGAGTGGTGTTACACTGGCCAAACTCTAGTGTAGATAATCTCATTCTGCCTCTTCCAGCCCCCCTGTCATTGCACTTGGCTGTTGGTTTTCTCTTCACATCCTGTCCTTACTGCTTGTGTCATCTGTCCAGCATCTAGCACAATGGGGTCCAGTTCCTGGACTGGGGTCCCTAGTTACTACCATAATATAGGGACTACCTCTAATAATGGGGCTCTGTCCAGGAACCTAAGGACAGGCCTGACTAAGAGGGACCATGTACAGACAGGCCATCAGCCATGTTCTGTAACTGGGTTAAAGCCCTGCTCACGCAGAATGTGAGCATCAGGCATCACGGGAGGTTGTGGCAGTCATTGGAGGATCTGGAAAGGAGGGTGCTTAGGCGGTGTGGGTTAGTGGTGATTATGGTGCCTTTGTATCTTCAGCATGTGGCAGTATTGTGTGTGGAGCGTTGCTCAGTGGTTGGAACCAGTGACTAGGAGTTGAGACTCCTGTATTCAACTCATGGCTCTGATGCTAGTTTGCTTTTAGGCTAATGTGTTCAGAAGTGGCCTCTGATTCTGGGTGCTTAATATGAGCCTGGTGTTCCGACGGTTCAGGCACCCTGAGCTCCAGTTGAAGTCACGGGTACTGTGAGTGCTCAGCTCCTCTGACAGTTGGCCCCACCTGATTTCAAGTCAGGCATCAAAAACTCTCCCCCGCCAATCAGAGGCTGTTTTTCAAAATGTGGCCTCTAATATCCCTGTGCCTCGGATCCCGTCAGTAAAATAGGGATCGTGATAGTGACTGGCCTGCTGGGGAGTCGGGGGATGAGGGAGTCCCTGTGAAGTGCTTGGAAGTGTGACGTGCTAGAGCCGCCCTGGAGGTCATTCAGTCAGTCACCAAAATCGCTCCTCTGGTTCTCGCTGCTTGTGGTTCAGTTCAGAAAGGGGTGGGGGGGGGCTTGAAAACAATAAGAAGATTCCAAAAGCGCCTAAGGGAGCGAGGGCCCAGTTCTGCCAAGGCATTTAGGCACCTGAGCCCAACTGAAATCAGTGGAAGTTAGGCGCCTAGGTGGTCCCTGAGAGCCAATGGGTGTTGGCTGCCAGTTCCCTGGGTGTTTTTGGAACCCCCACGTTAAGGCAATAGACGTCTGTTTCTTCTCGTATCCCCCTTCCTTTCTGTCCCCACTCCTAGCCCTGTCTCACTCCCCCTCTGTCTCTTCCCCTAGACTTGGACATGGCCAGAGAACCCAAGCCGAGCCGAGCCAGGCCTGGACAGAAGCGGCAGCATGGCGGCACCCTCTACCAGTGAGTCTGCGTGGCATGTTGTGGTCTGTTGGGGGTGGGTGTGCTTGCTTCTGGGCCTGGGGATTATCCTCAATAGTGTCGGAAGAGCCTCGGCGGGTCTCTCGTGAGACAAGACCTTTGCCCCCATGGTCTCTCCTCTCCCACCATCTCTCCTCCCCATATCCCATTTTCTTCTGCGCTTCACTCAGCCAGGTCCTGCTCCCTCCAGGTTCTCCTCCCATAGCCCACAGGGCCCCCTGCACCCCACCACAGTCCAGCCCTTGGGTGGCAGGGCGTTCAACTCTCGCTCTCTGCTGGGCTCTGGATGACGTCTCTAGTCGAGCCACAGGTGACTCCCAGAATGCCTTGCATCCCACTGGGGGGTTGGAAGGGGTGGGGTGGCGCCAGCAGAGATGGGGTGACCTGCTGATACGCCGTGATGGCTCTCAGCAATGGCACAAGGCCTGCTCTCATGGGAACTCAGCCTCATGTTTTCAAACCTCAGATAAAGTGTCCGAATTACCCATGATCCTCTACTACACCCACTGTATCGGCCTCGCTTTCTACTGGCCGGGGGTCTGAGTGACACAGACTCGCTTTGAGCTCACTGGGGAGCTGGTGCTTTGGGCACCTTCATGTCCCAGCAGGGGCGGATTCCTTGTGGATGGTTTCCTCGCGCCGTTCTCCCTGGGTGGGGGTGGGGGTGGTGGTTTCCTCGCACCGTTCTCCCTGCAGTGCAGGGGGGGGAGGGGAGGGTTCCTCGCACCGTTCTCCATAGCTGTCAGAAGGCTGCATCTCAATGGAAACTAGGAGCTCTAAAGGTTAATCTGCTTTAGACATAATATGTTGAAATTCACAGTCCCAGCCCTGGAGATGTTGGTCCCTCTGAGGAAACTGCCAGGCTTGAACTGAGGAGCACTGGTGTTGCCAGACTGGCTTAGACCCAGGTCATAAGAACGGCCAGACTGGGTCAGACCGAAGGCCCATCCAGCCCAGCGTCCTGTCTTCCGACAGTGGCCAATGCCAGGTGCCCCGGAGGGAATGAACAGAACAGACAATCATCAAGTGATCCATTCCCTGTCGCCCGTTCCCAGCTTCTGGCAAACAGAGGCTAGGGACACCATCCCTGACCATCGTGGCTAATAGCCATTAATCCTCCATGAATTTACCTAGTCGTTTATTAAATACAGAAAGGATTTAAGTGGTTTCAAGTAGTAAAAGACAGAGCAAAGTAAGTCACCAAGCAAAATAAAATAAAATGCGCAAATCTATGTCTAATCAAACTGAATACAGATAATCTCACTCTCAGAGATGCTTCAGTAAGTTTTTTCCTCAGACTGGACACCTTCCAGGCCTGGGCACAATTCTTTCCCCTGGTACAGCTCTTGTTCCAGCTCAGGTGGTAGCTAGGGGATTCTTCATGATGGCTCCTCTCCCCTTTGTTCTGTTCCACCCTTTATATATCTTTTGCATAAGACGGGAGCCCTTTGTCCCTCTGGGTTTCCACCCCCTCCTTCTGAATGGAAAGACACCAGGTTAAAGATGGATTCCAGTTCAGGTGACATGATCACATGTCACTGCAAGACTTCATTACCCACTTGCCAGCACACACATATACAGGGAGACTCACAGGCAAAACACAGCCATCTGCAGACAATTGTCCTGGTTAATGGGAGTCATCAAGATTCCAAACCACCATTAATGGCCCACACTTTGCATAATTACAATAGGCCCTCAGAGTTATACTTCATATTTCTAGTTTCAGATACAAGAATGATACATTTATACAAATAGGATGATCACACTCAGTAGATTATAAGCTTTGTAACAATACCTTACAAGAGACCTTTTGCATGAAGCATATTCCAGTTACATTATATTTAACTCATTAGCGTCTTTTCATAAAATCATATAGGCTGCACAACGTCACATCTGTCAACTCCTCTTTTTATAAGGGCTGAACTGAAATTCTGGATCTAGGCTGTCATGGAGTATGGGGGACTCAGGGCCCTGCACCCCCAGCTTCCTGCGATTCACCATGACTCTCAGCCAGCCAGTAAAGCAGAAGGTTTATTTAGACGACAGGAACACAGTCCAAGACAGGTCTTGCAGGCACAGACAACAGGACCCCCCTCTTGGGGTCTCAGGGCACCCCAGCCCCCTTGGGAGGTCAGAGCCCTGTCTGCCTCCCAGCCATCTCCCCAGCCAGCTTCTGAAACTCTCCCTTCAGCGACCCCTCCCACAGCCTTTGTTCAGTTTCCCGGGCAAAGGTGTCACCTGGCCTCTAACCCCTTCCTGGGTTCTCATGTTACATGCTCAGGTCGGCCAGTCTCCCATCCCCCAATGCAGACTATCCTAGCCACACTCCCCTGTCAGCATTCCCAGCCCACAGTAAGAACAGGCCCAGTTCGGCACACAGGCATCCTCAGGCAGTGGGTAATTAGTTGGGTCTGCTCATGAGCCAGTCCATCCTTCCCACATTAGCATGGAGGTGGCATAACAGAGCCCCTGGGGCAGGACGCGAAAGCACAGGCCTTGCCTTTTGCAACCATCACGTTAAGTGGAGCCGTAAGGGAAGGAAGGCAGCCTGGCTCGACTCCCCTGCAAGGAGACAGGCGAGTTGGGCAGCCGCTGACCTTGCCGAGTAAAGGGCAGGAAGTCCGCACTCTCCCTGAGGAGCAGGGCTGGGCTCCGGGGAAGGTAGCGTGTGGAGCAGGAGGGACACTGCCAGCTGGCCAGAGCTCTGTCTTGCTAGAGAGCGCTTGTGCATTGAGCTAACTGTTCTGCCAGTTGCCATGGGGATGGTGTCGCAGCCTGCTGGGGTGAAGGCAAAGAGGGGACATCCCTGGCCACATGAGATCCATTGTTGCTGCTCGCCCCCTCCCCCCAGCTTATTGGTCAGCAGGCTGCGTCTGGGGCACCCCACTTTGGGGAGCACTGTCCTGCTCACAACATGGCTCAGTTATAGTGCACTACAGAGGCAGGTAACTCAGCAGTGCCTTGCACAGATGAGGAAACCGAGTCAGGGACTTGGCCAAGACCACAAATCAAGTCAGAGCCAAGGGTAGAATCCAGGCTCGTGCCCCACCCAGTGGCTCATAATGCTGCATTTCAGTGGGGCAAGTTGTGGGGACCCAGACGGCTCTGCTGCTGAGTAATTGCCTTTTCCTCTCCCACCTATGCAGGGCTCATCTCTGCAGCTGGTAAGCTCTTTGGAGCCGGGCCTGTACAGTACCTAGCGTGATGGGGCCCCAGTCTGACACAGGCCTGTAGATGCCATTGTTATACAGTACGTCAATCCTATCGCTGGCTACAGTTCTATACGGAGTGGTGTCCTTCCATATGAACGCACCCTCCCGTGCAGCTCTCCTGACATAGCCACTAGCCCACGCATGTTACCTCTCTGCTCTTAGGGAGCCTGGAGAAACATCCGGCTTGTTAGGAGCTTGGGAGCACTGCCTACACCTCCAGGCCTCTCACTGATTCATTATTCTGTATTGAGAGTCGCCCAGGACGCTTGCCATTTTCCCTCCAGGGAGACACAGGCCTGCCCCTGTTGTGCATCTTGTGAAGCATGTGGTGGTTTTACTGCTCTCTGGGGGTTAATGCTGTTGACAGCATGAAGCTGAATACTCTGCGGGGCGGGGGGAGGGGAAACACTGTTGCATTAGCCAGGAATCGAACCCAGGCCTCCTGTATGGCAGGTGAGACTTCTTCCACTGCAGGAACCGGCTGCCAGCAACCCCAGTGCTTAGCCAGGAGGATTGAGATACTGTAATCACAATTTTTGTCCAGCTCAGCTGCAGTGATGCTGCCGCTCCAACAGCAGGGCTAGGTTCTGGGGGAGGGGAGGGAGGGAACGATCCATTGGAAGGATCCTGCTTTGCTTGTGCTTTGTTCATTCTCAAGGATCCAGGCTGCTTGGGAAGTGGCTCGTGGTACAGCGAGCCCAGTGGGAAATGGCCCGGAGGCGTGCTTGAGGAGAGGCAGCTACTTTCGGGTTCTGCCCTGTTTTACTGCCAGCTTGACAAAGCAGTGTTGGGATTACAAAGAGCTCCATTGTCTGGGGAGAAGATTAGAGGGGGTGGAGTTTTAATTTTTTTTTAATTGACAAAAATGATTTGGCTGCTGGTGCTTTACTGGGTGGCTGGTCTGGGAGGACTAGGCAGGGGCAACGGGGGATTTTCTGTACACTTCAAGCTTGCGCTCTGTTTGCTATCTCCAGCCAGCTGTGAGCTAGGACTGGATGCTGTAGGCGTGGATCTGAAGGACTGACTGTCCCTATAAGAACAGGCCAGAGAGAGAGATCCCCCGATGGAAACTTGGAAAACAAAAGGGCCTGAACAAAGAGTCCCGAAATAACTCCAGGTGCAAACAATAGCAGCAGTGGCAGTGTTGCCTGCATTCCTGGCGGCTGCTCTCCCCTCTGCTGCCAAAGAGCTGCTGCGCTGTGCCTTTAAAAGGAGGGCTGTTGCTATTGTTGTCTGTCGGACCAGCATGAACCATTCCTGAAACCCTCTAAAATACCACAGCCTCCTGCGACCTGAAATCCAGAACCAGCCACGTCCTCTGAGCAAGGCAGGAAGGGGAGCCAACCACTCCCTCCACCCAGGGTGCTTTTGGTTAACGCCCAGTGCTCATCAGCTATAGGGGAGAGATAGCTCAGAGGTTTGAGCATTGGCCTGCTAAACCCAGGGTTGTGAGTTCAATCCTTGAGGGGGCCACTTAGGGATCTGGGGCAAAATCAATACTTGGTCCTGCTAGTGAAGGCAGCAGGCTGGACTCAATGACCTTTTGGGGTCCATTCTAGTTCTTATGAGATAGTATATCTCCATACATTATTATTATTAGCAATCTGATCAGTGCTGCAGAGCTGTTGTACGTACCCCAGGCTGGGCTCTAGGGCTTTGGGTGATGGTCCTCAGGAAGTGGGGTT